ACCGGTAGGAGCAAGTTCCTCTGCAGGAGGATAGTGGTCACCGGTAGGAGCAGGTGCCTCCGCAGAAGGATAGTGGTCACCGGTAGGAGCAGGTGCCTTTGAGGGAGGATAGTGGTCACCCGTAGGAGCAGGTGCCTCCGCAGAAGGATATTGATCACCGGTAGGAGCAGGTGCCTCTGTAGAAGGATATTTTCCGGCGGTAGGAACAGGACTGTCTTCTGTAGGATACCGGCCAACGGTAGGAGGAGTCTCTTTAGAGGGAGATTGGATACGAGCGGGAGTTTGATTAGCATTGGCATCGAAAAATGTCTCTCTATCTTCTTCTTGATCCTCCTCAGTAAAATCACTCGACAAAGAGGTAGATGATAAAGATGCAGTTTCGTTGATTTGGCCATTATTTCTATTATTTTCCACAGAGGAAGCCAATTTACGAAGTGCTCTTTTAGTCCGCCTGCGATGAGTTTCACTCCTGTGATAGCGTTCTTCAATTTGGTCTTGTTCTTCAACGACTGTCTTCAAATTTTCAGCCCATAAAGCATTGATTGACTTTGCGTTTTCTAGTTTTCGTTTATAGTAAATTTCTGCTTCATGTTGAAGATGTAGAACCTCCATTACAGTCTTCTGTAAAGTGGCAAAAGCATTTTCAATTCCTTCAAACACCTGCATAAGAGATGGGTCTTGTTTGTACTTCTCATGGGAAACTGCTGAATTAATCAAACTCTGTAATATGTCCACTTTGTATTTAGCAATGTTGATATTAAATTCATAACTCTCCCGATTTGGCATTTCTTCATGTTCGTCCTCTGAACCAGCATAAGAATCAGTTTCGTTCCAGGGTAAATGTTCGGAGCTAAAGCTCATACCGCGCTTTGCGGGTATCGGTATATCGTAAGTACCAATGGATACAGCATCTGAATTTTGGTTTCTTTCGGTATCCTGACCATGTTCAATAGCATGCGAGATGGCATTGATCCATCGGCGTGCTTCTACAGGTGAGTTAGCCCTCACACTGTAGCGAACAGAACCCCTCCCAATGACCTGAAATACAGTAGGTTGTTTAGGATCATAAACTAGACGAGCTAAGTTTAAATTTATAGATCCACGACAGGCAGAAGAAGCATCATCTTGGTTCTTGTAGTAAGATAACACGCCGTTATGCAAATTAAACCATCTTAATTTATATCCTGATTTATAGTTGGTCCATTTTTTCAAGTAACCGGAAATGTTTTGGTCGGATGAAGAAGATAGATCAGAGTTTGTTTCAGAAGGCTGATTCCTAAGAAGACTACGCAAGTTTTCATCCTTTGTATAATCAACGGGAAGCTTTCCGAACTTATCTCGGCGATAAGGATCAGCATTATGATTGAGCAGCCACCTGACAAGTTCTATGTCCTTCGCCTTCGTCGCGGAGTGCAAATAGGTTTGTCCAGATTCAATATCAATCTCATTCAAATCAATTGCAGAATTATATTCATTATGTCTCATCAAATAGTCCAATGTATCAAAATTTCGCTCCTGAAAGCCTTGTTTAAATTCGCGGGCTGTTTCCTTTGTATACATGGCACAGAAGCCTTTTTACGTTAGTTATGAGAATTTGAAAAGCTGACACCCTTACCTTTCATGAAATCCATCAAAGCATTAGAAGATGCAACCTGCCAAGGCTTTAAATTGTTTCCATTGAGGAGGTTATAGTTAATGTCGGGGTGTAATAACAAAATTTCCACTACGTCCTGGCGACCTGCCATAGCAGCTAAATGAAGGGGCTAGATATAGTTAGCAAATGTTTTAACTATTGAGTAGAATACATGTCTCTTCGACTAGGAATACTAAATGTATGTAAAAAGTTTTCCATTAGGAAGATTCCCATAAAGCAATGAAGAAGTACATACCGTATTTTGACTTTTATCATAAGCATTCAAATCTACATCAAAAACGGATAAAATATGCTTAACCATAGAAGCATTTGCACATTGAATACTGAGAAACAAAGCATAAGTGCAATCTTCCTTGCTATGATTCTGAAGTAGAGCGTCTACTTCAGCAATATCTCCATTTTGAAAAGCTATTAAGCCAAGAGTTAGTATATGTATCTTTTGAATAGAAAACAGGCTAATGGATGAGGACTGATTCGTCCTCCCACTGTAAAATGGTTTTTAAGTACCTTGGAGTAGCTGAAGCTGCTTTAAACTTGTTTGTATATCTATTATTATTTTTTTGTTAGTATCTAGCTCCAAGTAGAAAATCTCAAACTACAAAGTTAAAGTCCCAGCAGCATTGACAAACCTTTTTTACTTATTGATGACGAACTAGAAGTAGAACCCTTTCTAGAGTGTTGAGCTCCCACAGCTTCTTCACCCATGGTTACCAACAAAAAGCAAATCCTATAAAAGCACTAGTTATACCGTTTTGTAATTGCCAAGTTGTATGAACTAGTTAGCGTCTGATCTCACTTATTTCATTGTTGCGTGATGTCACTCTTCGATAGGCGGTGTTGGGTGAATTAAGTGATCATACACCAATTTTATAGCTTGGTGTTTAGAGGAAATTAAGAACAAAAAAGACAAGTTAAATCACTTTTTTTGTAAGAAGTACTTCGCCGGAAATATTTAATCCTATGAGGCATATATTCTTCAATGCCTTTCAACCCAAACGGATGAGTTTCAAGATATACCGAACTTCGCCTTAAGCAGCTTGTTTTTTATTTTAACAGTGAGAGAAGTGGTATCAGAATATCCAAAGTTGGTACAACAGCTGGATTCTGGAGTGTATCCGGTGACTTTTCATATTATCCTTTGTTATAAGCAGGCAAAATGGAGTGGTCGTATCATATTTTGTAAGGAATATGTATGTAAATGAGACGAATTGAAAGGGAACCGAAAGTCAAAAGGGGGACATCACATCTTGTGTATGGCCTATACACACCTTCGTGTCAAGAGTGCCAAAGAGCTACTTCTCAAAACGATATTTTCTGTATTTGCCATACAGATTATAGAATCACGGTTAAATTTGATCTGACTTCACACTGGGCTTTCTAAAGTTTTTATGCTTCATAGTGAAGAAAATCCAAATGTTGTCTCTATTACATAGATTTTGACTTTGATTTAGTGTATACAACAATTTTCTGTTTGAATTCCCAAACAACAATAAGCTTTTCAGATTCTGCCTTGCAAAGCAGACGTTTCAATGGCAATTGTCCTTAAGAAATTAATTTGAAACGAATCTTTCTACTTATTGAGTTTCTGTATTCAAGTCAGTCGCTGTCATTGATATTGTCAATATTTTTTCTTACTAGACACAGACTTCCATAGCCAGTTGAGGAATACCTACAAAAGAACATACAAATTAAAAATCAATGGAACAGAATTTATCAACTAATAAACAATTCCTTAATAAGACTAAGCAAAAAGCATTATACTGGAGGGAAGAAGGCTATCAAGACGCGACGAATTTTAATACATAATGGGTAACAATGTTGTTTGTTCATCGGCTATGTCTTAAAGTAAAGGTATTTGGGACGAGACTAAAAATACAATCAAGGATATAAGGACATTTACTAAGACTACGTATGACGCTTTTTGTTCCCTCTCATTCAACGTCAATTCCAGCTACTATGTCTAAATATTTTTCTTGCCCTCATAACACATGAACAGACAGCCATCATTGTATTACTTTTTATAAACATTACATAACCCAAAACAAAGGTAGCTTGGATAGCGAGCATTTTGAAACAATTAGATAACGAAGCTTAGTTTTCGACAGCTGCAGCACCACGCAAGAGACCAGTTCTGCGGGCAGCAATAAGACCAGCCTTTTGACCAGGAACGGATCCACGGGGGACAGTGGTAGAGTGACCAACGTGTTGATGGTTACCACCACCATGAGGGTGATCGACGGGGTTCATAGCAACACCACGAGTCTTGGGCCAGCAGTTGCGCTTGACCTTGTACTTGTGGTAAGCACGACCAGCCTTAAGCAAGGGCTTGTCGACACGACCACCACCAGCGATAATACCAACGACACCACGAGCGGCAGAAGGAACGACCTTCTTGGAACCAGAGGGCAACTTGACACGAGTCTTGCCAGTGTCAACGTCGTGACCAACAATGATTACATAGTTACCAGAGGAACGACCCAAAGCACCACGGTCACCAGACTTTTCTTCGACGTTGGAGGCAATAGTACCTTCAGGCATCTCACCAACGGGCAAGACGTTACCAACGGTTAAAGCAGCGTTCTTACCACAGTAGATGAATTGACCAGTGTACATACCTTCAGTAGCAACGAAGGTCTCGACATCAGTACGGTAGTGGTAAGGGTTGCGGAAAGCAACTCTAGCCAAAGGAGCACCACGACCAGGGTCATGAATGATCTTTTGGACGACACCACGAATGTATCCGTGACGCTCAGCAAAGTCCAAAGTACGGAGCTGAGCGGCTCCCTTACGAAGGCGAGTGTGAGCTTGGAAAATTCCTCCGCTCTTTCTTTGTGCTCTAATAACGCGACCCATTTTAACCGTCCAAGCTCCTGATGCTCTGTATGGTACGTGTACTAAGCCCAAATGTCGACCGGACTACTTTTCCAGTGCTAACGTGACTGTTTTTACAAGTCAATAGTTTAGCCTCTGCTGCTCAAACTCGTTATTTCTATAACGAGGTTCAGTAAGAGGAGGAAAATATGCGTTAATAAATAATCTTCTCAAAGAATGATTCTTGAGAAATTGCAATGGAAAAAGCAACTGTTTAAGGAAGAAATAAAAGATGGTAGAAATTAGTAGATGATCTGTTAGGAAGAAATAAAAGAATCATCCTCAAAAAAATTATTTACACGCATCAGTCCTGATGAAAGTTTTGTTTAAGGCCGGAAGCAGTTTCTTTTCGCTCCGATTTGACTTTCTCATCCTGTACAGCATCCTCGTCTGCTTTTCGTTTCTTATCATTGTTTGGTGGTTTCGGATGCCGTTGATTATATGCCTGTTTAATCGCATATGCCTCACGAAGTAGATCTTCTTCAGAAACAGCATCTTCAATACTTTTCAGAACGCTTTCCACGGTAGAGATATGGTTAGCTTCGCTTTTATCATCTCGAAATCTCAAAAACCTCCATCGATTTTCTTCATCCAAGGAGCACTCGATAATCCGATCTTGAAGTGGAGTATTGTAGCTTTTTAGCTTTTCCCACTCTTCCTCATCCACATACATATCTGCAAAATAAGAGTATGAATTCCGGCCATGGAAAACGCCTAGTTGGAATTGAGGCTTCGCATCAAAATCGACATTCCCTTGTTCATCAACTTCGATAAATTCCAGCCTTAACATAAAATCAAGAGTGTTAATTGTCTTTGGTTTCCATTTTAAAAGGTTGACATCCGTCCCTGTAATATAGGGTGTTTCAACACAAGTGAAAATGAGACCATCATTTCCATGATGAAGACTCGGAATAATATCCCGAAACAGCATTTCTATGCCATATGATCTTTCCATTTTCTTCCCTTCTGTTAGAAAAGGAAACGTGCTTACTGACTTTGGGAATTTCCTCATAAATTGCTGAAGTGGAATAATGATGTTTACCATAAATACCCCTATTCGCTTATCTAAAGGACGATTCATATATAGTTTCCCATCACAAGCTAAACAATCAAATACAAGAAATTTGAGTTGCTTTTTTCCATCTGGGAATCGGTCTAATATCAGCTCTCCGTCCAACACAGTTTCCGTATGCATAGCTTTACCAGAAACATCTGTAGGTATAGGATATATCAAATTCGATATGTGATAGTAACTAGGTTTTCTGTCTATTAAGTAAACAGTGGGTTTATCAGGTCGTGAAGGGTCCTTGGTTATATACATCAAAAATCGGATACCATCGCTCTTTTCGCATACATAATAGTCTTTCTCTTTCAAGGTTTGTATATGTTTATGAGCGAAAGAAACAGGCTGGGATCCTGGAAATGCTTTATTGGTACCTAAAAGTTTAGCCAATCGAGTTCTTATAACCTGTGAACGTTCTCTAGAGACCAAAGTTCCTGGGATGGGAGGCGTTTCATGGTCCGAAGTATTTGATGGCGGCATCCTCTAAATAATAAATAAAAAAGAACAAAAAAAAAGAGAGACCAAATAGCTAATGATTTACTTACAATTATCGAAATTGGTATGGAAATGGTGTTTCATGCTTAACGCATTGTGCAATAATATGCGAAAAGATTTCTTAGTAAACACAGAAGAATCATTGCGTACAAGTAATTGACAATACTATGAACTTAGACTAAGCATATTTATGGCGTAGCAGAAATTTCCATGAATAGAAAAGACGAAGAAATTAATTGAGACTATATTAGAATTTAAGTATTAACGATCCCTTATTACACATGCAGAAAATTTTTATGCTTTTACATTAGAAGCAAGCAAAAGAAGAACAAATGCAAAGATAAACTCGGACAAGTAAGTATTAAGAACATACAATTAGAAAGATTCTCCATAGGCAGCATCAACGTATGTAAGAACATTAAAAGATGAAATATGGATAATTAGAAGAACATGAAAATCGGACTCCATTATATTTACGAGGAATATTTCGAAACCAATAACAACCTATCCTGTTCTCAAATGAACGTTACTAGAGGCAATTGAAATTCAGTGCTTTTGGAGAGCGGACATGATGCCCATTGCCTCTGAAGAAAGATATTGTCTTATGCCTTCGCATCCACAGTCTTGATGGGCCAACAATTGATTCTTCAAACATAAAACTTCTTCCCGCAACTGAGCGACTAGGGATCTCAGAGCTTTCGATTGCTCGCAAGCAACTCTGGCAGAGTTTTCCAGATCTTGGGTCCAAAGTTTTTTTTTCTGTCTGCATTTAGATGCAGCAACCCTGTTCCTTTCTAAGAAACGTTTTCTCTTGTCAGAGCAGTCGTCATCTAAAGAAGTTACACTGCGGCGAATACGAGGCGTTCGTTTCGTTTCAGATATGCTTCCTTGATCCAGCTTAGGCGAACTATAATTTGAACTATTAGGAGTGATAGTCTTTTGCTTTTGAGGGGTTGTTGGGTTTGAAAAAGACGACTGTATTGATGGAGACTCACGATAGCTAGGAGAATGTATAGAGTAAGGTTCTAAATGAGAAGAATTTTCGGGGATTAAGGGATAAGGAGTACTTTTTCCTTTGTCGAATGAAAAAACTTTGGAAGGGTTTCGCTGAAAATTTCTCAACCCTAGAGAAGGATCCAAAGGTAATTGAGAGGGTTGCACATTCATCAGTGTAGGGGCAACTTTCTCGGATCTTAATGGTACTGCCTCTCCATAATTTTGAGCTTTTGATACTTCCGAAAGACTGACTGTCTCAGGGATTTTGGCATCAGGGGATAACATAACATTGCGTTGATATGAAGATAAGCTTGCATCGCCAACTAAAGGAATGTACTTAGATGGTGCTCTCATTTGAAATTGATCTTTCGCTTTCATTCCTTGAAGAGATATGCCATTCATATCGTACATCCCCAAGTCACTCGAAACAACGGAGGCCTTTGCTGACATGTCAGGTGGTCCTGGTTCTTGAAGGGAAGGATGAAAAGGAAATTGATTGCTATCTTGATGGACAGATGAATTGTTTGGATGAAAACTTTCACTGCCCAAATTGTCAAAGCCAAGATACATATTTGCAAAATCCATGGGAAACGTGGAAAAAAAAATCCCGGTACAAAAAAGATCAAAAAATATAAACAAGGAAAGTAAGCAGAGACTCTTTTTTTTTTAAGGAAGCGGTAATTGAATATTGAATGCAAATCCACCAGACAGGTTAATAACTTAGGAAAAGTGCAAACGATCGCAGAAAAATATACACGGAAGGAAGCGAAAGAAGCGAAATCTAGCAAGAATGAATGATGCTTTCATAAGCAGCAAAGGCTAGCTGACTGACTTGGACTTTCTTTCGTCAAAACGTAAACAAAAAACAAGAAAGGAAAACAGATAAAGAATGGCGGAAAGAAGAAAAAAAAGAATTATTGACGAAAAAGGATAATTATATAATAGGAAAGTACAAATACTTGGTAGGGCCTGTGTATGTTAGTACACGCACCCAGTATAAGTATTAGTCCTAGGTTCAGACAGTTTGAAGGATTGAGAGTACCAAGGCGACAGCAAAGCCCAAAGTACCGAACGAAGTATAAATAATACAGTCACAGTAATTGGTGATTGTCTCGACTTATTTTTAACTTTCTTCAATTGGTAAGAAGCTCGATCAATGGCCCCCGTATTAGACTGCGATAATTACAAAATGAGTACGTAGATTAAACAGAGAATGATGTTGTTTTTGGTAAAACACAAAACTAATAAACAGATATTTATATAGTGAATACAATGACTAGTGGTTTGCGTCATGTATTTGTAAACAAACAGTCTCGAAATGTTTGTCGGTGCCAAAAACAAAACAACAGAAGTAGGATCTGTTCAACGCAAACAAGCTGTGGTTTTTGTAGAAAATATTAACTATTTATGATGGAAATTTTTAATGGAAGAGAAAAAATAATGGTTTTCTTCTGTATCATTGTCGCACTTTTTACTATGTTCGCTATATTTCACTAAGCCACGTGATCGCCTTTTTATTCTTAGTTATTTAATAGGCCGATTTACTCCCTACCCCAGATTGGTATCGTCAACTTAAAAGGCAATGTGCCAATTTGTAAACAATGTGAATATTGATTTTCATAGAAATCACAATCATTATTTGTTTAGCATATCAACTGCGGAAACTGCAATATGAGCAATTATTTAAATGAGAGTTTTATTGGGACAGCAAGCAAAAAAACAAAAATCTTTTAAACCAAATGGCATTCGCTTCCTTCTTTTCTCATTCATTTTGAAGTTTCCATGGTCTTACAGGATTTCTATCAGATTCTGCTGTGGTAGTTTAATATATGTTTTTCGTTAATTATTGTTTCCTCCAAGGGGTGTTTTATTCTTTTTTTTCTTCATGAAATACATGCGTACTTTAAATTTGAAAATAAATCTACTTTAGCTACAAGCCTAGGCATGACGGTGATTTTTATACTGTCAAAAGAATATTATTTAAAGCGTCATAGAATCCGTTGTTCCATGCAGATATAATCGGTTTTACAAAAAGAATCAGCTATTAAAGAAGTAATGATTATCAGATTGTATTGTATTGATTCATCCCTTTTTGAGGGATTGTTTATGATTTACAGATCTTTCAGCTCAATAATACTAGGCTTTTAATTATATCTACTTAACGAAAATCATAGTAATTATGGAAACAGTTATATAATATCCTTGCACATAATCAAGAATTACTTGTAATTATAAAAAGCTGGGTCCAAACGGCCACAAATAAGTCTAGATAAAGTGGCTTTATAAGGTTATTTTTCTTGGGACTTGAAAGCTGATTCAATGCCCATTCGTTAAGGTTATAGTGCTGCTCAGTTAAAACCTTTTCGAATAAGCTGATCTTTCTAGAGTCATTAGCAATGGAACACAAGAGAACTAATAAATCCATAGCTTCTTCATAGACAAGATGGATTTAATAAATTCTTCTATAATTTACAGAGATTTCACTTACAAGGTAACAACTTACTATTGTAACCCGGCGAGGTTTAAGACAAGAACAAACTTCTACACTTTGAATGGACTAAGCCATATAGAATGCAACGGGTTTGGACTTTTAAAAATGCGGTGCCAAGGGTTCTTCCTATAAGGAATATTTATAAGAAAGCTCAAGATGACGCGTATCGGCTCGCAACGGTAGTCGTTGAAGAATACTCTGAGAAAAAGCGTAAAGAATTAGAGCAAGCATTGGCTAGCTCCGCTGGCAAAGAAACTGCTCGTATTAGCATGCTAAGAGTTCTTTCGGAGATTAATCTTCCAAGCGTTCGATCCAAGTTTTATGATGGTGAATACGACTTTTCACGTCCGGCATTTCTCCATTTGTTAAAACAAAAGTGGGAAAGTCATGATAAATTGCTACTCCTTCAAAGATTAGAGCAAATGAAGGTCATCAAAGATTTAGGACTTGGATCGTTTAATCCCATAGTAGATGTTCGTTTGAGTTTTTCCAAAGATGAATCAACCAATGTCGTCCCTGGTTCGATTTTACCAACCGAGCAGACATGCTCTGAGCCATTGCTCCAGATTCTACCATTTAGCACCGAAGAACATAACTATACCATAGCCACGCTAGATCTGGATGTGCCAAATTACGAAACCAATCAATTTCAAACATCCTGCTTATGGCTAGCTTCTAACATACCCGTCAAGGCTACTGACCGTTTAGCAATACGCCCCTCAAACTGTTTAATCCCATATACCCCTCCCACAATGCATAAAGGAGAAGATAAGCACCGTATCGTGACTTTAGTCATGCAACAACGAGATCCATCAGTTGAGCTGGATTTAAGTAAGATCCAAAAGGAGAACGTGAATATACGTGATATCTGCACTCAATATTCTTTACAACCCGTTGGTTCTCACTTGTTCAGAAGCCAATATGATGATTGCACTGAAAAGTTACTTTCGGAGCATCCAAATGTGGAAAATTATACTCCTTTTGAGGTAAAGCGTATTTTTCCATAAAAACATTTCCTAGTTGGACCAAGGTCCTTATTACATACTTCCGTCTACTTGTTGCATTTAATAACAGCTTATTGTAATATGTTTCATGTACAACCAAATTACTACATCTTCTTTGACTATTCTTGTATGCAACACTTTGTTATTGTGACCGAAAAGATTATTATTTTTCACCAAAATTTATAGTACGAATATGAGTAACATTTTTGTTTGAGATTTTTTGCAAAAAGAACGAAGAATAATTTCATAAACTTAGTAAGCATTGTTGTAGACTAAATTTGACGTGTAAATCATTAGGGAGCAAACATTTTAGTTCCAAAAACCAGGAGAACCTTTGTACGGCATATTTCAGAGTAAATTATGCCTTTTACGAAGGTTAAAGCTTCATGTGCACTATTGATAACGATAGTATTATTTTTATTCAAAAAGCGAATTTCCCATCAAGTCGTTTACGAAAAAGTCAGATAATTTGAAGTTTGTTTGAGTGAAACAATCATTCTCATGCAAGGAAAGAGCGAATTGATGATCGAAAGTAGCAGAACATCTAGAACAAATCAAAATAGGAGCAGGCTTTAAAGCTTTTTGAACCCGTCCTTCTCGGCGACGGAGTCTCTTTCGAAGAGCACTCTTGATAGCATCTCTTGCGTCCGAAGAGTGATTTTCTCGTTCCTCTTGTTTTTCAGACCTTGATAAGACCATTGCCATAAGGCCACGATCCTGCTTACGTCGTGTGGACTGAGACAGTTTACGATGCTGGTGAATCAACTTTGCATAACCAAGTTTTCCAATCACGAGAGAAGCTGTTAAGACGTCAGACCCTTTGGAAGGAACGTCTTGGGTTTGCAGGGGAGTTTCTTGCTTGACGTTTGAGAGCAACTTTGGCAAAGCATAAGGATTAGCATCTGTGGTCGAGTCCATATTCAATACGGACGTATCATCAGAGCCAGAAGTAATAGAAGATAATGAAAAAGAGCATGAAGAGGAAGGAGGTAAGTCAAAATCTTGGAAGGGAGGGCTGCTTATTCCTTCAGAGATGGGTGATAACCAAGGTAAGACCGATTCATGATTATACATAGGTTGTTCAGACAAAAAAAACTCGTCAAGAGCCATGCAGCGCATTTATTGTTTTGAATTATAGGGTTTAAAATCAATGCAAAGAAGAGCAGCAAAATTGAAAGTTAAAAGAAGGAAATTTCAAACAAAGAATGACCAAAAAAAAGAATAAATAAAGAACGAAAAAGAGGAAATAAATATAACTGAATAGATTTATGACTAAAACCCCGAAAAGATGTTGAAACCAAATCTTTTCAACAAAAGCGTACCCAAAAAGAAACCACAGTTTTAAAAGAAAGTAACCAAGAAAGCATAGGATAGGCACACCCTTCCTATGAAATAGTCTAAACAAGTAAAAGCAGCAGCAAATACGATCAAGCCAAGCCCGGAATGTTGGTTGAAAGGAATCGACAACTACGACAAGGAGAAGAGTATCTTATTAGATGAAAGGATCGAAAGCTGAGAAGGTACTTTTACTGGCCTTGTCTAAAAATAGTATGGTCGAGGGAAGATTAAGAAGGTAGGAGCTCTCCAAAAGTAAAAAATTATAGGAAACCAAAGGTAACAAGGCGGGTTACCAACGAGTCCTTGCAACCCGAGCAGTCAAACTTTTACGATAAAAATAAAAGCTTGTTTCATATAAAAAGAAAAAAAAAGGTCGGAAGCTTCCTATTGTTCCCATAGTTCTTCCAGAGAAAAGTCAGTTTTCGATTTCATTAGTACATGTCAATAGACTCGGTTGTCTTTTGTTTACATTCTGATATCAATAGACAATGCCGTATAACTCCACGTAGAAGGAATGTAATGAGAATCTACTTCCGCAATTTATCTATAAAAAAATAGGCGATCATAACAAAAGGAAAAAAGAAAGTGCAAAGCTTCTCCTTTTAGAGATTGCTAGTTCCCTCAATGTTGCTGAGCATTAGTGATTTCATAAAAGCATTAAGCGAACTTTATTTCCATTTGGTAAACAAACTAAGGCGCCGGAATTTCCATAGAAACTATGTGCTATGAGACTCCTGTCCATATTCCTAAAAGAGAACTAATAAAAAATTTCATTCGTAAATCAGTTTTATATATCTGGTTTTTCTTTTCAGTTATAAGAAGCATCCTAAATTTTATATGTCGGACTATTTCAAGCGCCTTTCAGGTAACTCTTTGAAAAAACTACTCTTCTGACAGTATTTTATCCATCTGAATGATAAAAACATCATCATGGAATGTATTTGCAGCTAGTATTATTGTTGTGAGGACAAACAACTTTCTTTGCGTTTCTCATATACAAAGGTAAACAGCACATCAGGCAAGAAGGGTCTATAAAAACTGCTATTATTTCTATCGGTTATGTGAGTATGAGTATCGATAATTGTTTGTGTTTTGGATAAAAGTCTGGCTTTTTTCGATACTCTCATTGGAAATATGAAAATCATTAAAATGAGCTTCTGCTATAGTGCTAATAAGTAGTTTTCATATTCAAAAAACTCGAATAACTTCTTATTACTGAAGATGAGGATTCTCTAGGTCTGTTAGGGTACTGCATTTCTTCAACATGCGGGTTGTACCCGATACTACCTTCAACCATCACTTTTGACAGGTACTGGAAATTCATTGTATATTCGTCAGCGTATGTGAAAATAGTAAAAAAAAGGGAAATCTAACTCATCAATAGATGAAAAACTTGGTTGTTCAACGTCAACGCTTCTTGCAAAGCATTCATAAGCCTACTTATCTCCAAGTATGTCATTTTTCAAAAGATACCGCCGACTGCAGGCATGAAAAACATATCTAATAAATTTAATTTTAGAGACCTGGTAGCGCTCTCATGGTTTATCCTTACTACGCTGCCATGGGTGGAATTACTTTGCTTTCTGTTTATTTTACAGGAAAGCTTCTTATGGTAAGCTCGCAAATTATATTTAAACAAAACATTAACCGGAACTATTAAGGCTAAAAAGGATTGAACCTTTTCCACTTACGATACAACTTTGCACGATCATTTTCGTTGTTTCTTTCTTTTGATGCTCTTCTCCTCTTTCTAATTAAGCAAATGTTCTTTTTTATTAGCTACATTTTGTTTAATTTCTAGCAATCAATACGGTTTTCACCTTTTAGTCATATCCACCGCACTGTAAAAACATTAATGTTGGTTCAACTCGTGTAACGACATATGAACCAACCGAACATCAACGCTTATGATGTGTTTTTTTAAACTGAAAATGTAGTGATAAAACACCATTATCAAAACTGCTCTTAAACCCTCGTTCACGCTTGGCGCTATAGTCCCATTCCTTATCCACAATGCAAAAAGCGATATCTTGGTAAGGTATCCCTGCAATAAATCGTATTATGCAAACATTATCCTGTGTCATTGCTGACTCTTTGTCAACTCTTGGCCCACGTTCAATCTTATAAGTAGGTGACCGGTCACTGCCAATCAAGTCAGGATAAAAAATGTTGAACCGGTAGCCCTGTACGGCTTTTGGTGGTGGATGCGCTTCATTATAATGTGCTTGGTTATACGAATTCCACTCGAAACCTAACATGACCCTATTAAAATACTTGGGCTTTTTTAACGGAATTCCATCTTCACTAATGGCTCTTACTGGTCCCTCAACAAAGTCACCAGACATTTCTTGTTCTTCTTCGCCTCCAGCTTTAAGGTATTCACGTTCGAGCCTTCCACTTACAGTATTATAAAACTCTTCTTCGGTGTCAGGTATCAAGTACTTGTGAGGCTGTCTGCTTTGCTTCTTAATGAGAAACGATGTAGGAATATAGATGCTGTTTCTAATAATCTCGGATCTTTCGGACTAAAACATATGTTAATATATTTGTGGAAGCATGAAACGTACCAAATTTTCTTCATAGTCATTTTGCTCAATAGGTTGCGTCGTTTTGGGAACGGGATCAATTCGAAAAATTGGATCGGGATCAATGGGTATTTTATAAGGTTTCGAAGTAGGCGTAAGTTGTTGGCGTTTGTATAAGAAATTTACATCAGAAATCGCCTTTTCCATTTCTTGTTGAGCCATTTCCTGCTTCCGTAATTGTAGCGGCTGGGAAAATAACTTGCGTAAATATGCTGCTGCTTTGTAAGAGTGTATCGACTTGAGTAAATCCTCCCAATAATCCGTGTCTATTGGTTCTCTATTCTGGAGTTTCGCATGTACTTGCTTTTCCAAATTTACCAACTGCTCAAAAGTTTTCGGGGCCAGGATTTTTTGAATGTCTTTGGCAACCGTTTTCAAGCTTCTTGAAGCATTTCCGTATTGATCATGTTCTAAGAACGAATTGACCAATTGGGATACATACTAATCATTCAGTAAGTTAATATAAATTTTAAGAACCTTACCTTCCAAAAGTTTACGCCTGTAGCATCATCCGTTAATGACAAAATTTCCGGTATGTTTTTTAAAAGAAGATTTAATTCTTCAACTGGCGCAAGCTGATATGCGTCAATATAGATTGAATAAAGTCAAAACTCACCTTGATCACAAATATTGGATCAAACATATCCAAACCAGTGAAATCTATGCTTCCGTTATGAATCCAAGATTCATTGTCTTGCTGTGAAAGCAAAGAGAAGCTTACCAAAAGCTTTTCAAAGGGACCAGCTCGATCTTCTTTCACTCTTATAATGGCTTTCAGAAGTTTTTGCTGTTTCAGAAATGCTTTTTCTCTGGATTCACGAATTCTAGGTGTATCGTATTCGTCGCCATTTTCGTCATTCTCCTCCTAAGATTCCAAGTTAATGATATGAGAAGCGGAAATTTGAAAACAAGATACTTACCGACTGCCTTGTCTTACGGACTCTATGTGCGTAATTCCTATGCCTTGGAGGTGAAACGGATCGTTCCTTTCTTGATCGATCGTATCGATTTTTAGAAAATGACATAGATGAAAGGATACAAAGACTGCTTAGTGATGAGGACGGGCCAGTTCTTAATGGAAATAGGTCTACTCTTTTCTTCGATAACAGCGTGCAAATGTCTTTGCTCCTGTACTTTTCTTTGTAACAGATCTATTTTTGCTACGATTTAGAAACTTTATATAATGAGAAATAAATAAATAAATAAATATCTCAGAAAGTCGATATTTGCACAAAATATACTTTTCGTTTTTCTTTTTCCTGTTGACTTTTTCACGCTGTTATATAATACAATGGCTTTTATTTTTATTTTAAAAACGAGTATATAATGATAGATATACACTTGCACATTTGTTCGTTTGTTTATGTTTGTTACAATTTTTTATATGGCAGAAACCTTACCAGAATCCTAATGCGGGTTTTTCAACTTGTGAAATTAAAAAAGAAAATCGATCCAGCATAAAATAGCTTTGTTGCTTCTTTTTCATTCGCCCTAATGAAATCCCTTCCATGCAGATTATCGTATTAGCTTGGAAGTACGCACTAAAATGTGTATGCAGAAGATGATTAAAGGAAAAGGCAAAGCTTTTTCATCAAGTTTTGTTGCTTCTAAAGTGTTAATTGTTAGCTTCGCTTCGCTTCTCTTCTCTTCTCTTCTCTTCTGGTGACACTTTTGCTATGAAACTCAACAAGTGGCATTCGTAGAAAGAATTCCACTTAACAAGCCTCCGTTTCGCTCTTTTAAGAAAAAGATCTGTATCTTTTGTATTTAATGTTTATCTACGTATTATACAGTCTTTTCTGAAATTTTTTTTGCTGGTTGTTTACGCGTTCATTTGTTTACAAACCACCATTGCCATAACAACCACTTGGTATACTGACATCGTCAACAAGTGTTTACCTGGTAAACAACAAAGTTGAAACAGCAGGACGAAAACCAGTTAGAACGCTCATTTTCACCATTTTCTTCTACTTGATTCTTTCATATTCAAAGTTCGATTTCCTTGGGTTGCAAATCTGGCTTCCATAAAATTCTACTTTTTACTTGGATGATTGCTTGTGCGGCGACGAGTTTCGATGTCAAGACAATCGTCCATCTCTGTCGCAGGTATGTTTGGAAAATTCCTTTTTGCGTATTGTAAGATGAATATTAACGACGATTAGTTCGAGTTCGTCCATTTAGTACCATTGAATCCGCCAACTTACTTGCGTCTTCAGATGGGCAGTCTCTAGCAAGTTCACTTTCTTTTAAAAATCCAGGAGTATGCCGAGGGATTCGAAGAGTGGTAAAGGTTTTGGATGACCGTGTACTGGTCTTTGATCCTCCCGACGATGCTTCTTCCATGCACGCTGGCGGTAGACGAATGTCTGCTCCTCAGCGTAACATCTCTCGACTTTCCGGTAGAAAAGGAAACTTTACTGGATTTGGTCGCGATCTTCGTTATGCTTTCGACAGAGTATTCGATGAAACTGCCTCGCAGCAAGCCGTGTATGAGCAAACTGCTCGCCCTCTCTTGGACAATATTCTAGATGGGTTCAATTCCACGGTTTTTGCGTATGGTGCTACTGGTTGTGGTAAAACTCATACAATCACCGGAACGAAAGAGGATCCCGGCATTGTGTATCTGACTTTAAAGGAGCTTTTTGAACGAATGGACGACTTGAGGGATGAAAAAATATTTAGTATCTACGTATCTTACTTAGAAATTTATAATGAAACCATTCGGGATTTGCTGACTGAGCAACCGTTTGCTCAGTCCAAACCTCTAACGCTGCGCGAGGACGCTGACCGTCGAATTACCGTTCCAGGACTAACCTCTTTATCTCCTACCTCTCTTGAAGAATTAATGGAAATTGTTGCTCGTGGAAATGGAAATAGAACCATGTCACCCACAGCAGCAAATGTTGCCTCTTCACGATCTCATGCTGTCTTGCAGGTTTCTTTGGTACAAAAGCCGCGTACTGCAGGTATTAATGAAGATCACGCTTTGGCTACCTTGTCCGTTATTGACCTTGCTGGCTCAGAACGTGCAAATGCTACTAAAAACCGAGGAGGCCGTTTATTGGAGGGTGCCAACATTAACAAATCGCTTTTGGCTTTGGGAAACTGCATAAATGCTTTGTGCGATCCACACAGAAGGGCACACATTCCTTACCGTGATTCAAAATTAACGAGACTACTCAAATTTAGCCTTGGTGGTAATTGCAAAACTGTGATGATAGTATGCATTTCTCCCTCATCATTCCACTATGAAGAAACCCATAATACCTTAAAATATGCTAATCGTGCTAAAAACATAAAAACAGAGGTTTTGAGGAACATGATTAGCGTTGACAGGCATGTTAGTCAATATGTAAAAGCTATAGTGGATCTTCGCCAACAAATAGCTGAACTCGACAGCAGATTAGCGAATCCTGCCTCGTCTGCCTCCGTAGCAGCAACCGCAAAGAACCAAGCAGCTGCGCAAGCTAAAGCTTGCGAATCAAAGTTAATGGAAGCTAAAGATTTACTGCGTGCTACCTTTTTGGAAACATTACCTTTGCAAAAAGACACAATTGGAAAAGTTGAGAAAGTCAAGCACTATGATGATTCTATCAATATTCTAAAATATTGGATATCTTCTTGCGAACGGATCGCTGACAGCTCATCCAGTGAAAGGCTACTTTTAGCAAAATCAAAGTTAGAATCATTGTTAATACAAAGGTCTGCTATCATTGCTGACGTTAATCCTGAAAAGGTTTATGATGCCTTTCAGAAAAGTGTTGATCCTGTTGTAAGCTATTTTAAAGAAAATAATGCTATGATGTATGCGGATATCTTACAGGATGAAATTGATCTATTGAAATCCATAATTGAAAACCAAATTTTGGATGCACAAAGCAAAGTCGATGATTACACTCCTGTATTGCAAAAGTTGATGGAGATTTCCTTTAAGTCACTTACCCAATCCAAGCAAAAAAATCAAGCTGTACTGAGTAGCCTGCTGAAAACTTGGTTATCAGATCTTGGTTCTAAGGATAAACATAGCATGTATCAACTTTACCACATGGAAGACTACGATAAGGCTAGGCAACGTCTCGCAAAGGAAACGTCTATCCCTACCTATTCATCTTCATCTCCTTCTAAGTTGCCAAAGATATCAAATTCGCCTAGAAGGTTTACGGTTAAATCACCTAAAAAGCCGGTTGTTTTTCCTAAAAGATCACCCAAAAAACGAGTGCGTTTTGATGATTCAATGTCTACTTCAGATTCAAGCGTTTCTGCTTATAACTCTCCAGAACAGTCGCACTCAAAGAATATTCCTTGGTCCATAGAGAACATGCCTCCACCCCCTTCTTTTCCTTTAACCATTTCTTCGAAAGGCAATACGTTGGATCTTACTGAGGCTTTAGATTCTCCACAATCTTCTCTTCTGGAAGATAAACCAGAAGATGAAGAGGATAAGACAGTTGAGCTGGATGAATCACTACCAAATAATTTGGAGCCCTTATCCACATCAAATCTGGATGTGGAAATGGCAAACATTTTCGGAGCGGAATCTTCGAATGAAGAAGTTTCTTTACCTCACTTGGATACAATAGATCTGGACGCAAGTCCTATCTCTAGTACTAATAAAGTGGAAGGTGAAAAGCCTAGTTTCGATCAACATCAAACGTTGCAAAAAGATCCTTCCCAAACTCCAGCTACTTTGAATTCAAACGATGTTAATCTACCAACTGGAAACAATCACCAAAACCTTAGTTCTTTGACATCCTTGCGTCTTTCCAATCCATCCAATATTCGAAGATCATTTTTAGTTACAAAGGATTCACAAAAAACAAATGAATGACAGTTTACGAGCAACATACTGCGCACTTAAAAAGGTTATGATAACATAAGGATATATTGCATATACAATATTTAGAAACGAGTAAATGAATAATTTATTACTTAAATGTTTCCCATATATTCATGAAACTAATACGACATAAGAGTACGAACTTACAACACCATCAGACATATTAAATACATTTCTATTATTCACAAATATTCCCAAAACACACGCATTCAATTTAACGAACACAAAAGATCACTAAAACAAACCGAAAGAAAAAAATTATATACCCATTTAATACAAACGCTTTTCATAAGTAGCAAAACCTTGAATATCACCCTCACGAATGGCTGCGCTAGAACGTAATTCGAAACGGACATCATGAGCATTAACAGACTCATGAAGTTTCTCAAGGGAGCAAACACCAATGTCTTGACAAGCGTGTTGCAAACCAGTATAAAGGTAAGGCAAGAAACGGAGAAGAGAACCCTTATCAACAACAAGGCCAGACACACCTTGAGCAACACGCACAACATCATTTTCAGAGAAGTAACGACCAGTGGAAGCATTCTTATTTGCACCGGTACCCTCCATAGCAGCAATAGAACCCATACCACGGTAGGATTTATAACGTTGTCCATCACGGACATAATACTCACCAGGAGACTCAGTAGTACCAGCAAGTAAACTACCCATCATGACACCGGTGGCGCCAAGGGTAAGACTCTTAACCATGTGACCAATGTTTTGAATACCACCATCAGCAATTACACTGACGCCGAATTGGGAGGCAAACTCGGAAACTTGTGCAATAGCAGTAGCCTGAGGACGACCACATGCCATAACTTCTTGAGTAATACAGGCAGCGCCACTACCCATACCAATACGTAAGCCATCAGCACCAGCAGAAATCAAGTTAGCTGCTTGTTCACGTGTAACAACGTTACCAGCAATAACATCCAGCTTAGGGAAGTTGGACTTGATGAACTTGATCATTTCAATTTGGAAGCAAGAGTTACCTTGAGAAGAGTCGATTACAACAAGATCAACACCAGCTTCGGCCAAAAGTTTCAAACGGTAGCGGTCATCGTCACGAGTACCAATAGCGGCAGCAACCATGAGTTGCTTAGTTTCAGGGGACTTGCTAGCATTGGGGAAATGCAAGTTCTTCATCAAGTCAGTCAAAGAAAGCAAAGCAACCAATCTTAAGTCACCATCAACTACAGGAAGCTTGCCTTTCTTGGATCGACGCAAGATCTCGTTGGCACGCTCCAAGCTAATGCCTTCACGGGTAGTAATCAAGTTTTCCTTAGTCATGACCTCAGTTACCTTGGATTTAACGTCGTTGTGGAATTGGACATCACGAGAAGTAACGATACCAATCAATTTGCCACGAAGCTTACCAGTATCTAAAAATATTAGTAAAAAAGCCAAAAACAATGGATAGATTATGAATAAAAGAAGAGCACAAGGTTAAGTGAGTAAACGTTTGCTAAACTTCAGGAATCGAAATGTTGTCCCCATGACATTTAAGTCATTGCGGAAGAACGAAAGTTAATATGATTTGAGACATCATTAGCAGCAAACCTAAAAACTCTCCTTCAATCCATTACCATAATAACATACCAGTAACGGGAATACCGCTAAAGCCTTTGGTTTCCTTGATCTTCAAAACATCACCAACAGTGTGCTCGGGGGAGAAGACAACGGGATCAGTAATAAAACCGTTTTCGTATTTCTTCACCTTGCGAACCATATCAGCCTGCTCTTCAGCAGGGCAGTTATGGTGGATAACACCAATACCACCCAAAAGTGCCATGTAAATAGCCATTTGGTCTTCAGTGACAGTGTCCATAGGGGAACTGACGAACGGAGTCTTTAAAGTGATATTGCGAGAAATCTTTGTTTCCAAAGAAACACTGTTGGGGACGAAATCAATAAAACCAGGCAAAATCAAGAAGTCGTTGAAAGTAAGACCACCTTGGAAGTTGTGACGAATTAAATCGTCAATACTTAAACCATCTTTCTTTTCATACTTCTTAAGAAGATCTAAAGCTTCGGTGTAAGGCTTAGCAGCAGACATTTCGATTGCTTCCAAAGTTGTCCCGGGTATTGTTACCAATTAAAAATTTTGCGGGTTGAGCCTTTATATACGAATATTAACGATGTGTTGCGAGCTCTAGTGAAATATCATACTAACGAGTTACGAAAAATCAAAAACATGAATGGTACGATGAGAAAGATATGTCGGTGGAAGAATAGGAATCCTTTGTTTTGTATAAGAAAAGAAAACTTTTGAAATTTCGTATTTAGCTTACTAATATCTCACATGTTATGAAGGATATACGTTCAAGTATCTTCTAATCTATCGTCGGTTTTAAGGTAAACAAACTCGAATACGGATGGTAAAGGAAGATAGAACATTAGCTATAAGGTTGAGGTATGAAAGCGATATTTTATCTATGATAGATGAATTACAGCGAGGCAATGGTATGCTTGTTTACCTCTGAAGATGACAACAAATCGTAATCCAGAAGTAGTAGCACTTTTAGTGGCTGTTCTTCGTCAATGTAAATTAACCTATAGATAAGAAGCTTTCTGAAGCTCTATGGATTTGCGGCGCATTACAATCTATGTGTAACAGTTACGGACCATAAGTTTGCATTCAATTAGCAGTAAATAGATGGTTTATTTTAGCAGATCAAGATATAAAGGTCAAATGATTTGCTAATTTAAGAGGAAAAAATAAAAAAAACAAAGCAATGAAAAGCAATAAATGACACAACTCGCCATTCCAATATGAGAACTTTGCTACAATTCGTTACAAGTGAAAAACAATGCAAAGTATAGAACAAGCATCAATAGCTTTTGAAATCATAAATTGAATTACTATAGTAAAAAATTATATTCTCTAGATAAGCATACTACAGTATCCTTTTTGAAAGGCCTACATGATATACGTTTTACTATGGCAAAAAAAAAAAAAAAAAAAAAGGTTGCAAAGGTAAATATAAAAACAAAACATAATTTATAACTGAACAGATAAATAAATATGCATTATGAACTTGAAACTAAACAAACTATCCTAATTAAACCCAAGTAACTAAACTGAACTGAACTAAACTAAAATAAACTAAATAAATTAAACTAAATAACCCCAAAAAAATCATTATACTACCTAAACGAAATGGGAATGAATGGAAGGCTATCCTAAAACATACTTACGGAATTAAAATATTTTATTCCAATATGGCGGAAACTTTTTAGTATTTGCCCAACTTGGAAGAACTTTTGTTACTAATAAATTATGCTCTTTTCAAAAGTCTTCCATCATTTCCTTTTTTCTTTCTTTTCATTCTAGTTGGCTTTTGAATTCAAAGAATGAACAAGACGTAAGCGAATCATGAAACGAGTAAATGAATCACTAAGAATAAATATATCCAAGAATTGACAATGTATATCGAACGAATTAAAACAAGAACAAACAAGGGCGGAAAAAATTATACGAAAAATTGCCTGTTTCGGCGTAAAAAGTTATGAAAGGAAGGAAACGGGATATAAGAAACCCATCAGTACCTAAACTATATCATCAAGCCACTCGAACTGACCAAGATGAGGATTCCAGCGACGACTTTTCATTGCATACTCTTCCTCATCACTAGCCCATTCATCTTCTCTATAGCTTATAGGCAATGGTATCTTCTTATGGGATGTCTCTGATTTTTCTTCTGAAGTGGAAATGTATGGAAGTGCATTAGGGTTGATAGGATAAACAGTGCCATTTCCCATTGAGTTTCTAATTGGAATAAACCAGAACCAAGGAGCCGATCCCATCACTTGACACCAATTATTATACAGACCAACATTAAAGGGCTGAGTTGACTTGGCATATTTGGACCAACTTGAATTCATAGATTCCAAAGTGGTGAGATTTTGTAAAAGAAGGTAAGTATGATAGATTGTAAATGCAACCATTACGATACTGAGCCCAAACGCAAATGCGAACAATGAGCCCCAAAATATTAAATACAAAGCGCTTATGGTCCCATTTGCTGCGGTGAAATGTTTCGTTATAGCCATAAACGTACTGTAAACAGTTGTAAGAGCATACAGCGTCAGATACAAGCAAACAAGGTAGAAAAGCTTATGATTTCGAAACCCGATACAATTGCGAAACCAAAGACAATGGTGATCCATGCGTAATACGCATGAATTGCAGCGCGAACAGTGATGGGTTCGATCAGCCTTGTACTGTAAACATTTACCGCAATAACGAGGCATCCCGTCTTTTCTTTTCATATATTGGCTATTGATTTTAGGCTCAAACAAAGCAGTCTGCATGTTAATACTTCAATCTGTTAAATTCTAACATACCACTGGGGATCCTGGAGGGGTTACATTCGCAAATAAATAAGTAAATACCATTAGTCCATATAATGCAAACTGAACATAACCCAACTTGGATGGAGACAGCTTGTAAATGGCCCAGTTAAGCCACTGAGCTTGAGTCATCAATAGAAGCGCAAAAATTTGTAATCCATTCTGAAAGAACTTTAGCAGCACCATTTTGAAAAGATTTGTTAGCCCACTACAATAACCCATCTCCAATTTTTTTTGGTATTATATATAGATATTAATATAGAAATACCGTTTTTCTATGCTTTTCAACCCGATGCTTCCATGTATTAAAGATATAGTTGTTTAATAAAAATGTGGTTAACGGATGGTGTGAAACCTGAACATTCTCTACTCATGGTATTGTAAATAACCTCCATAAAATGATCATGTAAACAGAAACTCGCTATTAATCAAAACAAAAAGTTTATTCTCTTCTAAATAAATAAAGGTAGTCCAATTTAAGATTATTACATTATGGAAAATGCTGTTGCCAAGTTCCTTCAATAACAGGAAAAAACCAATTATCTAACTCAGAAACATTTTTCTACTTTTAATACTTCATGAGAATTATTTCGAAAACTCGATTTCTAGTGGTAAAAAGCTGCATATGATAGGTTTAGTAATTTGACAGTCTTAAGCTTCGAAGAGTTTCTATTTATTCTATAGTCTTTCGATGAAACTACAATTTTCTTTTTGAGTAGTTCTCTTGGTGAAATTAGGAGTTTACAAGTCATATTTGGGAAGCTATGATAAACCAGAGATAGTTTCCTTGTCAAGCACATATGAATCACTCAAACCACGGGCTTAGGTATACGAATCAGATTCTTTTTGGTACTTAGCAAGACGAAGCCATATTTGAAAGAGGCATAGGAAATTCACCGTTAGCCTTTATGGGTTAATATCCTTGTGGATTTCCATGAAAACAACATTTATTAGTTCGTAGCGAAAAAAAATTCCAGAAGGTATTACCCTTTAACATTAACAAGGAGGGACTAAAAATAAACTATTACTAATATAACAACAAACAATGTTTCATAAATAGACAATTACCCATTCCAAAACAAACCCAATTTCAAACGTCCATACACACTCCAATAAGTATCCATGCCATCTCCTTCATATTTATGGCTTTTCTACCGCACGACCATCTTGTGAAATCTTTTCCTTCTTCTCATCGTATTGTAACACGCTTTGGCTTAGTTTGTTCTGCCTAACAAAAAATGACAAGATTGCTCCTAATGCAGCAAAAGGCACATTGACGATCCAAATCATTCTAATGGCATCTGCAAAGGCTTTCAAAACGAAGTTACGCTTCGAAACATCTGTAATAGCCTGGATTTGCGAAAACGTCATGTCTTTACTGTAAGACGTGCCCTTGAGCAAAGTAGATAACTGTTGATCATAAATAACTCCTCCAATGGAAATGCCAATAGAGGAACCCATATTTCGAAGCAACATGAATGCGGAGCAAGAAGTTGCCATGGTTGCAGGAGGGACGGATGCTTGCAGTGCAATTAGATTAGGCTGAAACAAATTGCCCACTCCGACAGCCGTCAGCGCAATGAACCCCATAACCCTGGAGAATTCAGTGTCATAGTAAATAGCAATCATGGCGCCAGAACCGGCCAAGAGAATGATCCAACCGCCAATCATAAAGTACTTATAGTTTCTTAACTTGCCAATGCTAAAACCACTAATAGCAGAGGTAACAGAGGAGACGACTGCGTAGGAGAGGGTGTGGACACCGGACATAAGTGGACCATCGCCTTTTATGTTTTGAAAGTATACGGGAATGTAATATGTGATGGTAGACATAATGTAGTAGTGTAAAAAGGAGGTTACCATAACGGATGTGAGTGAGAGAGTTTTAAATGCGGAAGGAGGCATAATCTTTATACGCTTGGTATACGTTTCATTAACAGCAAACACGACCAGGCAAAGAATGCCGATTATTAGGTAGCATAAGATATTTGCGTGTTTCCAAACACCAGTAGTAGAACCAAGATTAAGACCAAGCAGAAAGAGAACAACACCAACAGTAATCGTGATGATGCCAACGAAGTCAAAGGTTTTCAGGAACTGGGTAAAAGAAGTTCTTGGTTTTGGAATCAAATTAAGAAATAAGACAAGCGTAGTCAAAGCAATACCGCCGGTGGGCAGGTTAATGAAGAAAATCCAGCGCCAAGTCGTTTTTTGGGAGATGGCACCACCTATCAAAGGACCCATGACAGAAGCGATACCCCAGGTGGCACCAAAACAACCTGTATAGTAAGAGCGTGTTTGAAGAGGTGTTATGTCGGCGATGACGATAGTTACCAAAGACATGATTCCACCACCACCGATACCTTGAACAGCACGGCACAAGATAAGCCATATCATGCTCTTGGCAGCACCACAAAGGGCGCTTCCAAAGAGAAAGATGACAATGGAGGTGTAGAGAACAGCCTTTCGACCAACGACTTCACTCATGATGCCTACGAAAGGAAGGACAGCGGTTTCTGCGAGCGAATAAGCAGTACCAATCCATGAAGACGAAGAGCTATCATGAAAACTGTTGACGATGGTTGGGATGGCAGTGGTAATGATGGTTTGATCAAGGGCAGCGAGAAAGATGCATAGCATGAGACCGGGAATAACGATGTATAGACGATTGGAGGGAAGTACTAGAGTGAAGTCTGGGTCTTGTGTCTCCTCGGACTCATCATGCGATTGTACGGTAAAACGAGATTTTAGACCCTGACGATCATTTAGAGAAATGGATTTTAGAGAATTCACATCATCGAGTTTTGAATTGGATTGATTCCACGAAGAAGAAGGGTAAGGGGAATCCCTGCTGGAACTATAGAGGCGTGTTTTTCGTGGAGGGGGGTTTTCGAGGGAATGAGAAGAAGGCGACATCGTTAAGTAAGTTTTAGTAAGTAACTAAGTAAAGTAAGAAAAGTCGAGAATTTACGCGGTGAAAAGAAAACGTTTAGAAAAAAATCTTTTGGTTTTTTTCCAAAAAAAAAAAGAAGGAAAAATAAATGCAAAACACAAACAATGGCAAATTTACAGAAAAAAAAGCAATAGAAAAAGAATCACTCAAAACAGTAAAAGAGAGAACCAAAAAAACCCCCCAAAAACGAACAAAACCAAAAATAAAGTGGAATAGAAAAGAAAATTATAAAAACGAAGAGGATACAGAAACAGGGAAATGAGAAGCGTTAACGTTTGGAAGATTTGACAGGCCAGAAGGGAAGGAATGGTGGAGGGTTATGAATGACAACAAACGCCAGCGATGGTCTGGTATACAGTTGTTGGAGGGAGCTAAGGCAGGACGTAAAGGAAAACCTGAAAGACCAGAATACTTGGTGGAGACTTTTTTTTTTAGCACACCCTACACTTTTGTAGGAACAAACTTGGCGAACGCTTGTGGTTATTTTTTTATGGAGTAAGTAGTGTCTTATTTAGTCTTGATAAGTTATAAATTGTTTATGATATTCTTGTTATTCTTATAATTATGACTCTTGCTTTTTGTTTAAGAAACAGTTTCACTTGTTTGCTGCAGGACAATGATAAGAGGTTCAACCGACCAGCCAACTAGTAGGACGTTACGCTACACCAGGTTTGATAGAAGGGCTTCTTTCCAACTGTCTCTCCTTTTCCTGACTCCTGTATCTCTCGCTCTTACAATCAACTGCTGTGTGCGCGCTTCGCATTGTTGACCATTTTATGTAGGAGAACGATCAAACGCTATTCTCCTTTTCCGAAACGAATTTCAAAATGTGCCTTATTTTTTTACCGTTTTCCTCCTTTTCTCCTTATATTCTCTTACCCTCGCTCATTGCATTGTTTTACGCCGTATTTGATTAGATAAATCCTTTCTCCTTGCGCTTCTTCTGATACCCATGAAGGCGATCTAATCTAGGGGGTAATAGATAAGGAAATGTAGATTACTTACTCTTGACGTTGCAACCCTCTGTATTCCACAAAACCTTTATCTGGAGAAGCAAACAAGATGTCCTTCTATCGCCGTTAAAATGGAGAGATGAGTCCAACAAGAGACTCGTTTGGGGCTTTTGTTCTTTCTGCCGTTTAAGTATAAATTACGAGGCTTATCGCTGACTTTCGAGGGTTCTTCCTGTCTTCCTGCCTTTCCCTTGCTTTGTGTCCAACTTGGGGCTCAAAAAAGATCCTTTAACGCATTGTTTCGTTGATTGAAAAAGTTGTGACTCTTTGGTAGCTCATCGTACATCTTGGATAACTCTTGAAATCGAAAACAACTGAATTGGAATAACTTTCGAATTGAAGAGCTTGGTCTATACTGTCTGTCTTTCTAACTGGGAGTTGATTTGGAAACATCATTAAATTTCCATCTTTCGTCTCTTTCTCGTTGGTCCCTTCGTAGCCAAACCATCTTTATATAGTCAAAACGCTTACAACAAAAGAAATCATCAAAAGAGCAAGTCATCATAGGTTTCTCAATCTTATTTATCAAAGCTATTTTTATCAGGTCTTTCATCTCCGTTGTTAAAATTTGATTTTGATTTTGTTTTGTTTTTGTTTTCGTTTTTCTATCTTATTTATTTCTATTTTTCGGTTGAATCAAAGTTGTTTTCTTTTCTAATTTGCTCTTTTTCTTTCTCTTTGATTACCTCGTTTTCGCTTTTCTTTCCTGTACTTTTCTTACTGACTTCTTTTTACGTTCATCATGTCCAACTCATTTGCTTATGACGATGCATACCCTTCTCCTCCCTCCTTTGGTCAAAAGTGTTCCAATGCCCTCCACTCTGTCTTCACCAAAGACTTTTGGATCGGGGATTATGACTATAGTTTCTTGCTTCCTGCCATCCCCTTTACCAGCCAAACACCAAAAAACCCTCCTTTCTTTTCCTTGAACGCCAAAACACCCGTCCTCTTAGCCCTTCTCTTGGGCTTCCAACATGCCCTGGCCATGATTGGCGGCGTCACTTCCCCCCCTCGTATCATTGCTGCTAGTGCCAATCTTACTATTGAACAAACCAATTACCTCGTCTCTGCCGGTCTCATCAGTACTGCTCTGTTGACCCTCATCAATATCGCTCGCATCAGAATCCCCAAAACCAATTATTACATTGGCACCGGCATGCTCTCCGTTCTTGGTATATCCTTTACTAGTGTCAGTGTCGCCCCTAAAATACTCAGTCAAATGTATCAAAATGGCTATTGTCCAACCGCCTCTGACGGCACCAAGCTTCCCTGTCCTCAAGGCTATGGTGCTTTTATTGCTACATGCTGCATTTGCTCTTTGCTTGAAATCGCCATGTCCTTCATCCCTTCCCGCTTCCTCAAACGCCTCTTCCCTCCCATAGTAACTGGCCCCGTCGTTTTGTTAATTGGTGCTTCTCTCATCATGACTGGTCTTGAGGATTGGGCTGGCGGTAGTGGCTGCACGAGCCGCACCGCCATGTGTCCTTCAAACTCTGCTCCCCATCCGCTGTATTGGGGTAGCGCCCAGTTCATCGGTTTGGGATTCAGTGTCTTTGCTACCATCATCATCATCGAGCGTTTTGGTCCTCCTCTAGTTAAGACCACTTCTGTCGTCATTGGTCTTGTTGTCGGCATGATCATTTCTGCTGCCACTCATTACTGGGATCGTTCTATTATCGATGCTGCTCCCGTCATCACGTTTAACTGGGTCCACACTTTCCGACTTCGCCTTTACGGCCCTGCCGTTCTTCCCATTCTTGCTATGTACATTGTCAACATGATGGAGGCCATTGGGGACATTACTGCTACTTCAGACGTCTCTATGCTGGACGTCGATGGTCCAGATTTTGACTCTCGAATTCAGGGTGGTATTCTCTGTGACGGTACATCCTCCTTGATAGCCGCCCTTATGACTATCACTCCCCTCACTACCTTCGCCCAAAATAATGGTGTAATCAGCCTAACTAAGTGTGCCAATAGAAGAGCCGGGTTTTTCTGTGCTTTCATCTTGTTTTGCATGGGTCTCTTTGGTAAGTTCGCTGCCGTGTTTGTGGCTATTCCTAGTTCCGTGCTGGGAGGAATGACTACCTTTTTGTTTTCCTCCGTCACGACCTCTGGTATAGCCATCATCGCCCAAATCCCTTTTAATCGTCGTAATCGCTTTATCCTCACCGCTTCCCTAACATTAGGTATGGGTTCTATATTGGTCCCAAATTGGTTCAGCTACTTTTTTACATATTCTGGAAACAACAAAGGCCTTACCGGTTTCTTGGATGCCATCACCCTTGTCATGGAAAACGGATTTGCAATTGGTGCTTTCATTTCTATATTCCTTAATCTCATTCTTCCTGAAGAATTGGATTCCGACATGCATAACGACAGCCCTGGTATATCTTCAGGTGCTACCAACGCCATAGTTGAACTCACTGCCGTTGAGCCCGTTGAATCCACCGTAGATAATAAGCAAGACTCGGAAAAGAAGAAAAGTGAGAACAATGGAATTACTGAAGCATCAATGTAATTGGGTTTTTACACGTTACTTTCTCCCTTTTTGTGCTTTGCAAAATATGTTTGGAACTGATTCCTTCTACATTCAATATTGATGGAGTTTTTTTTGTCGTTTATAGTTTGCTTTTCTTAATTAATGTTCATTTATATTTCCTTCTTTATTAAATTTGTTTCAGAATTGTAAATTTCACAATCCAAACTTAATCAAAGAATCTTGACATCCATATATTCATTCAGACTAAAGAGATATAGCTGGTTATTCAGTACATTGTTTCAATGTCCAAGTAATATCCGGCAGTATCTGTAAACTTACAAGGCAGTACTTGTTGACTGTACCATCATCAATACTTTACGACTATTTTGCTGTCCAGGAAACTCTTTTTACCTTTCGACTTTGCCTTACTGAAACTATTGGAAGTATAATTTATGGAACTTATATTTTGAAAGTTGTTTCCACTTCAAACCGACGTACATTCTTCGTTGTGAATCTTACAAATGGACAAAAGTGACCCAGTAATTTAATATATAAGAAACAATCCTTTTTTTATCAATTTCTCGCCAGATATATCATAATTTGAACTGATTTGATCCTCTCTAATTTCCTATAATACAGTACCATCATGAATAATAAATTAAGCTCACCTACCATCTTTCTTTCTAGAGAAGCATTAATTAGTTATTTACCATGGGACGCCTTAATCGATGCGCTTAGGGACATCTTCACAAAACCAGTCGAATGTCCCCCCAGACTCCACTATCCGATTAAAAGCTCCGTGGATGAAAATGAAGTCCATAATACTCTGTTGATTATGCCTTGTTGGTCTCCTGGTGAGTACATTGGCGTTAAACAGGTAAATGTTTTTCCAAACAACTCCAAAAAGAATCTTCCCAGCCTTTTCAGTCATTACCTTTTAAGTGATGCAAATACTGGTACTCATTTAGCTCAACTTGACGGAGGGGAACTCACGTCTCGAAGGACGGCTGCTGCCTCGGCGCTTGCATCTACGTACTTATCTAGGAATGATGCGGCTTCGCTAGTCATTTTGGGATCTGGAAAAGTTGCTAGAAGCCTTATTTACGCACATTGCTCTGTTCGCCCCATTCAAACCATTTCTATTTGGAATCATCGAAATGAGAATGCTGTTGCTCTCATTGAATCAATTTGTCATGACTTTCCTTCTATCCAGTTGCACGCTATTCGTAATGAAGATTTGGAAGACGTCGTGAAAGTCTGCGATATCATTTCTTGTGCAACGTTGAGTACATCTCCTATTGTGAAAGGCTCATGGATCCAACCCGGTACTCATGTTGACCTAGTAGGTGGTTTTACTCCAAATATGCATGAAGCTGACTCTGCTTGTGTTTCTAAAGCGAGTGTCTTTGTGGATACAAGAGCCGGTGCACTATCTGAAGCAGGTGATCTGTTAACACCCGTGAAAGAGGGTGTATTTTCCATCGATGATGTGCAAGCTGATTTATTCGACTTATGCAACAAGCATCACAAGGGACGTGCTCACTTGACCGACCCTCGGAGTGCTATAACCCTGTTCAAGTCTGTAGGAGACTCCAGGGAAGACCTTGCTGCAGCTTCTTTAGCTTATAACACACACATGAATAGGAACTTATAGATCGCACTAATACTTTGAACTTATATTATCATAAAATTTCAAAAGACTGTTTTATTTTAAATCTAAAAATCTAAAAAATTATTATATTAAAGTGACCATTTATTTGTATATTTTAAAAGATATCCACAACTGAGTGATTGGGGGTACCAATCAGGATTGTCTCAGTGGCGCTTCCACCGTATGAACTGGTATAACCACCATTTAATCCATCAAATGTAGTAGTTGTAGTAGTTGTCGTCTGTACTGGTTTATCAATCAAAACAGTGCCAGCGGATGTGCCGGTAGGGGTAGCAATGGTAGAGGTAAATCCTTTAAAACCAGAAGTGACTGTTTCAGTAACCCAAGAGGGAGTAGCACTAGGAATATCAATCAAAACAGTACCAGCAGATGTGCCGGTAGGGGTAGCAATAGTAGAGGTGAATCCTTTAGAGCCGGAAGTGATTGTTTCAGTCACCCAAGAGGGAGTAGCACTAGGAGTATCAATCACAACAGTACCAGCGGACGTGCCTACAGGAGTAGCAATAGTAGAGGTGAATCCTTTAGATTCGGAAGTGACTGTCTCA